AAACTGGAGGTGATTTCAAATATACTGGAGGAAGTGCCTAAGTCATTTCCAAAGTCATTTTATGTGAGCACCCATGGGTTTTGGTATTGGGGGGGCGGTTTCCTATAATCAATCCTTGGGATACCAAGGGACAACCATATACATTCACAACCACTTGGTTAATGTTTGCTTTCTCTCCTGGAGTATAAATCGGGAAGGGGCTGATCTGTCTTGTTCGGTCCTACTTCTGCTCTAGCATACAGTAGGCATTCAATAACTGTTTTTGGAGTAAATCAATTGACTTCTTGAAAGGCATTTAGGTTCTCATCTTTGCTACTTGTGAACTACAGTCTGTGTCTCCTTCCATGTTACAGTTGTGCAAAGGTGTTGGCCTACTTTCCAGCACAGGTGGAAAGGGACTCGTTAATGGCTGTGTCACATATGCCTCACAGAGTTAAGCACACAGATTTAGCTCCATAAATGAGATGGAGCCAATTTCGAACTGTCTGGGGTGGGAAGATTAAGAACTGCCTCCCACAGAGAAATGATCAATTTTTGAGGTGACATTTGTAATAATGACTCTGATTTGATCATTACACATTATATACACATATTGAAATATCTCTCTATAACCCATAAATATATGTACAATTATCATGTATCAAAAAAAAGAATTACCCCAATACTGGCTTGTCTCTTGCCACATCTTTTTCCTTGCCACCATCTCCAACATCTCACTTTCCCCTAAATGAGTAAAGGCAGTAGAAGGGTGAACAGCGACTCCGAACCTGACAAACTCATGTTCATCTGTCAAGCTTCTCCTCTGACCTCTCCCCTAACGTGGCCAACTATCAGAACTGTTATCTTCCTGGCTAGCCAATTTTGGAGCTTGTCTTCTCAGCTGAACCACAGACTGGAGGAGCAAAGTGTCACCTGTTTCTGTAGAACTGGAGATGACTGTGGCACTCATAAATAAACACGTGGGTGCCACTCCATCAGAACTGCCTAGACCCTTCAAATCCCAAGCCCTTTCAAATCCCTTCCTTGGGTGATGCCAGACCTGGCCCTTCAGCCCACACTCCAGGCCTGGCAGTAAGTCTGTGGGGACACTAAAGGGGGTTTCCTTAAATACAGCTTGCTCCCCACATCCTGTGACCACACACAGAACAGCATGACCCCCAACCTCCTCTCTAAATCTATTCTTATGGCTTCTACCTCTGTGTTATTTCTGAAATCTTTTTTTTAGACCATCTTAATTGTACAAAGTGAGGGTTTTTCACTGTGGTATTTCTATATACGTATATAATACACTTTGATCATATCTACTGCCTTATTACTTTCTTATCCTCTGTCCTCCCATCCCTTTGCTTTTACAGTTTTAATGAATTTCATTATGATACTTCATACATGCACATGATGTACTTCAACTTCATCATCCCTCCACACCCTCTCTCTTACCCTCTAAGCTCCCCCACTGGTGCTGCCCCAGTGGTCCCCCTTTTACATTCATGTCCTTTTTCTTTAGATCTATCCAAATCTGTTTCTTTTTGATGGCTGAGACATAATTCACACACTATACAAAGTTCAGTGGTTTTTAGTACATTGAGTTATGAAACCAACACTCCAACTTTTGAACATTTTTCATAACCCCTGCAAAAAAAAAAAAAAAAAAAAAGAACAAGAAAAAACCCCATACCCATTAGCAGTCACTTCCCATTTCCTACCACCCTCCCCTCTGGCCAAAGCAACCGCTAATTTACTTTCTGTGTCTACTAATTTGCCTATTCTCAATATTTCATGTAAGTAGAATCACATGGTCTTTTGTGACTGGCTATTTTCACTTAGCGCAATATTTTCAGGGCTCATCCACATGGCTGCCCATATCAGTACTTCATTCCCTGCTTTTTTTGTGGTTGTGTAGTAGTCCATGGAACACACCACCTTTTTGTTGCTATTTATTCATTCATCATTTGGTAGACATTTTCTGGCTATTATGAATAGCACATACGAATATGCACGAACATACAAGTCTTTGTGTGAACACAAGTTTCACTTCTCCAGGGCAGAGTGAGTAGAAACGCTGGGTTACATAGGAATTCTTGAGTTACTGCAGGCCATGTTCCCAAAGTGGCTGCACCATTTCATGTTCCCATCAGCAGTGCCCCAGAGTTCCCATTTCTCCACATCCCCCACATCCTTGTCACTTGGTATTAACCGTCCTTTTCATTACCGTCATCTTTGTGGGTATGAAACTATCTCACTGTGGCTTTTATTTCCTTGGACCCCTTAACAAGCAGTGATTGTGTAGGAATTATGCATTCTGGGGTGAGAAGGCCACCAGATCTCGAAAGGCCCTACTGCTCTTCTGGACTGTGTAGTTTCTGTTCCCCCCACACCTTTTTTTTTTTTTTTGGTGGGATGGAGGTTTGAACTTAGGGTTTTGGGTGCAAAGCAAATGTTTGCAAAGCAGGCACTCTACCACTTGAGCCACACCTCCAGCCTGTTTTGCTCTGGTTACTTTGGAGATCTTGCAAAGTGTTTGCCATGGCTGGCCTGGAGCTGCAATCCTCCCAGTTTCAACCTCCTAAGTAGCTAGGATTACAGATGTGAGCCATGGGTGCCCAGCTTTCAGTAACTCTTAACTTTTCTAATTCTGTCCAAAATGTGACTCACTGGAACTTAAACACATTTAGTGAGGGTCTGGAGGCGTAGCTCAAGTGGTAGAGCACCTGCCTAGCAAGCACAAGGCCAAACCTAGTAAAAAAAAAAAAATCTCGCTAATTTTTCTGGCGGGGGGGTGGTTACTGAGGATTGAACCCCATGCTAGATGAACACTTAACCAGAGTTACATTCCCGGCACTCCAGATAAATGTCAGACGCTTGTATGATACATACCATGCAATTCTGTGCAGATTATTGAGAGACAGGGCTCAAAAATATAGCTTCTTTTCAAAAACAGTTCCTTCAAGTCAGGAACTGTGCCTCTTGTCTCTAGGCTAATTAGAAAGATGGAAGAACGAAGCCCTCATGGCCACAGGACCACAGGAGCTACACATGGAGGAAAGCCATATTAAGGCCTCCAGTTGTGCGTGGACCCTACTCCGTTACCGGCTCCCTTTCCTCCTATTTTCTTGTCCTTGCATTTCTAGTACTGGTGGGCCCAGGAGGCCGAGGACAAAGACTCTGCCATTATTTCTTAGGCAGCATGTTGAAACGTCCATTACTCAGACTATGGTGAAAATACTTTATGTGATGCTCAGGACAAAAACGTCTGTATGCAATTGAAACATTCATGATCAAAATGAGAGACAGGGCTGGTGGAGTGGCTCAAGTGGTGGAGTACTTGCCTATCAAGTGTGAGACCCTGAGTTCAAACTCCTGTGCCCCAAAACAAAACAAAATGAGAGCAAGCTGTAGAGTGTTCAAAGGGTGGCTCCATTTAGGCCAAGCTAAAACTTGACTAAGCATTGAACACATTGTACATCAATCCCTGAGCAGAAGCCCCAGAGGAAGAGAACAGGGAACAGCTGGGCAGAAGGTCCAAGCAGGCAGCCCAAATGGGGGTTCTATTAAAATGAGTGCCCAGCAAGGGCAACTTCACTCCCATAGGAACTGATCACACCAGCTGGCAGCCACCCAGCAGGTAACATAGGGAACACAGGGTTTTAGGAGGAGCACACAGGGATGCAGCAACCAGATAAAGTAATTGTTCAAGTCTTCCTTCTGCTCTGCACAACAGGACCCATCAATGTCACCAGCAACCTGGCACAAGGGCCACAGGCAAGAGGCCACTTGAGGGTTTAAAATGAAAGACTGAGTTTGTTTTTATCCTGCGACATCTGTTTCTCACAGCATGAAGGCTTCTAGTCTCCATTACCCTTACATTCCCAACCATAGAACAACAGGAACACTTTTCACCACCCAAATGCGACCCCAACCTCTGCCTATCAACCCCATCACATGCAGTGACCATGTATCACCGCACCCCCATCTCTTACGGACACAGGCTATCTGACATATTCAGCGGATCAACTCTTGTAGCCTGGGCCCAAAACATGCCCTGATCACCGCCCTGATCAAACCCAACACTGTTCCACGCCAGCCTTTTTTGTTCTTCACTAAAATGCTTTTACAGTACTTCCTGATTTTTGCCCATCTAGGCACCCTTTTTAGAGAGAGCAAAACTGAGTCCCCTTCCCTTTAGGTCTGGCCCATGCGGGGAAATGAGAACCACTTTATACACACTCAGCATCTGGAATAACGGTGAGGGCTCTGGCTCTCCTGGGACTGCTCCACCCCAGCAGGTCCCAGCTTCCGGGTCTGCAGCCTTGTGCCCATCCCTACACTTCGGTCCTCACATCTCTTTACAAACGACCACTCCCCTCTCCGCCTGTTCTGGCCGCAAACAGTACAACGAGGGACACAAAGGGCCCAACCCAGTTTCAAAACACATCATACAAACGGCAAAGGTGCCTAAGACTAAATATTTTCAAAGAAGAAAAATGGCAGGGAGGAAAGAAAAGAGAGGGGAACACGCGAACGGGCCGGGCAAGTTCTGGCCGGGTGGGAGGCCCTGGTGCGCGCTGGTCACACGAGGGGCGCGCTTCAACCGGCCTGGCCCCGGGGGACTCGGTCCAGGGGACTGGCCGTCCTTCCCAGCTCGTCACCTGGCTTCCTTGAACAATGCAGAGGACCCGGACATCGTCCCAGGGTCCACAGTTCCCCCCCTACACACCCCGCCCGCCGAACCCCGCGCTCGTCCTTTGGGCGAAGCCGTGGGCAGGCGGCTCTTCCTCTCTGGCCCGGGTTCGAAGCGACCCCGAGAAGAGAAGGAAGAGGAGAAGGAACTCGAGCCGAGCTTCCCATCGGAGGCGGGCCAGGCCCCGCGGGCGGCGGCGGGGCGCACGCGGGATCCCGGGCCGGGCTGCGCCCACAACTTTCCGCGGAACTCCGCGCCCGGCGCCGCCCCGGCCCCTCCTCCCTGGGCCACTCGGGAACCCGGCCCGCGCCCGCGCTCTTACCATCTGCGCCACTTGAGCAGGGCCCCCTGGGTGCGGGGATACACGGGTCCAGCAGCCCCTCCGAGGGTCCGGCCCCGGGCCTGGGCGCGCCGCCGCCGCTGCTGCACGTGGTGCGGACGAGTCCCGCTCCGTGCGACATCGCGCGGCCCTGCGCGCCCCGCCTCGGCCCGGAGCAGGGGCCGAAGCAGCAGGGCCGGTGGGTGGGCGGGCGGGCGGGCGGGGCTGCGCTCGCGGGGGGGGGGGGCGGGGCGCACCGGGCCGCGCAGGGGACGCCCGCCAGATGTGGCCGGAGCTGGTGGGGACTCGCGGGCCGCGCCTGCCAGGGGCGCAGCAGCTCCTGTCCTCCCGACGCGCTCAAGTTGCACTGGCTCGAGGAGGAAGTGGACGCCTGGGCCTCTCTAGGGCGCCCAGCTGGTGCCCAGCCTTGTGGGATGTCGTGGGGTGCGGCTGCGGATGTGCTGAGGGCGCTCAAGTTCAACTTACCGACGCCCAACGGCCCACGCCGGCCAGTGCTCGTTTCTGCGTGCGCACCTGTGCGACCGTGGCCACCAGCCAGCTGGACGCGCCCATCACCTCCGGAAGCCCCTCGGCTGCTCCCTGCCCACCGTCACTCGTGTCCCCTCCCAACGCCCTCCTCCAGCTTCAGGCCGCCCCTCTGCTCTGCTGTTCCTCCCCGTGGATTTGTTTTGCCTTGGATTTAGCAAACTGAAATAACACAGAATGTTCTCAATCGTGTCTAGCTTCTTTCACATGACACATTGCAGATTCAGTCTGTTGGGATTATAAACAGTGTATACCACTAGACTGTCCCTTTTTATTGCTGAGTAATATCCCAATGTAGGAACACTACAATTAACACCTCCCCCCCAAAAAAACCCCACCTCATTCACGGATGACAACCTTGTGCTGAACCTAGAGGATGAAAGTTTCACCTGGAGAAGTGACAGCTTCATCAGGGGAAGAAATGAGCGTGGTCACCAAGAACCCTCCCCTCAGGGAGGAAGTGGATGTGTTTCTCCTCTGGGTTTGTCTGTCTGTCTGTCTGTCTGTCTGTCTCTCTCTCTCTCTCTCTCTCTCTCTCTCTCTCTCTCCCCCCACCCCACACCTCCCGCTTTGGGAATACTGGGGTTTGAACTCAAGGCCTCACACTTACTAGGCAGGCAACTCTACCACTTGAGCCACTCCACCAGCTCTTTTTTGGGCATTTTCAAGACAGGGTCCCACGACTATTTGCCCCAGCCTCCTGATCTTTGCCTCCTGAGTAGCTAGAATTACAGGTGTAAGCCACCAGCACCCGGCCTGTCTTCCCTTTTTGAGGCACCAGCTAGAAGATTGATGCTTTTGGGGATGACTTTCCTCCTCCGTGTTGCCAGTGTGTGACTTCTCATTGATTTCCTAAAATGGTGTTCCCTCCCTCAATGTGGAGAGTTATCCGCCATCCCAGGAATTCTCAATAAATTTGTATTACTTAAGCTGAAAGAACAGCAAACAAACTTCATTTACTTGTTGGTAGACACCTGTTTTGGTGTGTTTTTTTTTTTCTTTCTTGGCTATTATGATTAATGATACAAAATGTTCCGGTACACATTTTTTGGTGGACATAAACTCTCATTTCTTTGGGGTAACCATCTCCAAGTTACACTGCTAGGTGGCAGGGTAAGGTAAGCATATGCTTACTTCTGTTAGACACATCAGTTATCCAAGCGCAAACTGTGTTCACCATTTCCATCAGGCTATAAAAGAAATCTGCATCTTTTTTGTTTTTATGTTTTTTTATTTTTATTTATTTATTTATTTTAATGTAGCCCAGCCTGTCCTCAAATTCCATCTCCTCCTGCCTCAGCCTCCTGAGTGCTGGGATTACAGGTATGGCCACCATGCCAGGGCATTGTATTGTTATCTTCAAATAGATAGGAATCTCACTATAGCTTTGAATTCCTAGGCTCAAGCAATCCTCCCTCAGCCTCCTAAGTAGCTGGGACTATCGGTCTGTACTACCGGGACCAGTCCCAAATGAATTATGTTACAAGGTTCCTTTTCAGCAGTCCCTCGTATTTATATAAGTCCTAATAATTCTAGAATGCGGGCAATTCCCAGGCAATCTTTGTCTTGTCATGTCTCCCTGGTGATTCTGATGCACACTCACATTTGAGAAGCACTGTCCTTGCTGGAGTCCCCTAAAGTTGAGACATCTGGGGATCCATTACATTTTTCTATGTTTGTGCACATTTGACAATTCCCAGGACCAAAACAAAAATCAACTTCAATGTCTGTCTTCTCTTAGAAACAGTCACAGTCACCTGGTACCTCCATTCCTTTCTCTCTAAAAGAGGAATGGCACCTAGGAGTTGCTGTGGCAATTTGACAGGCATGCAGCTATGTGGCATCTGGCTCTTGCCCACAGGCATGACGTTGGTGTTTTGTCATTTTCATATAGATTTGCATTTTTACTCCTGTACTTATCAATTACTTTCAATCCCACAATGGAACGAGAGATTTCTGTTGAAGTGAGGTCTGTAGAGAAGTGAAAAAAAGGTGCTAATCTGCTGTGGGATTTCTCTTCTGTGGAGACAGAGGGCCATCTCCCTTGGTGACTTTCAAATGTGGTTCCAGCCCAAAAGCACAGCACTGCTGAGAACTTGTGGGAAATGCTGAATCAAACTGGGGGTGGGCTCAGCAGCCAGTGTGGTGCTCCCCACTTTGACCTCCACCCTGCTCCCATCCTGCCCCCTGTGACTGTGACATGTGCTCAAGTTTGAAAGCCATTGTCACTCTGAAACACTGCTGAGACATCACTGGGTTCTCTGCCTGGGGCCAACATCCAGCCAACCCTGGATTAGAGCATCACAGCTGCTGTCACTGTGCCACTCACTTTACTGGGAAAGCAGCCCAGCCAAGTTAGTGCAAAACCACTACCTGAAAAGAACTCAAAGCAAAAGGGCTGGGGTGCTCAAGTGTAGATAGCAAGCTAGCAAGCACGAAACCCTGAGTTCAATCCTATACCATCACCAAAAAAAATCAGTCTCTGAATTAACACGTGCGGTATTCACCAAAAATTCCTCAAATCCCTCTCCTTTCCTTCTACTCTAAAGGGCAGGTACTACATGCTTCAATTACCATGTATGTGCTACAGGTTTTTGTTTTGTTTTGCGTTACTGGGTTTTGAACTCAGGCCTCATTCATGCTTGCAAGGCAGCCCTCTACCCACTTGAGCTACTCCCCTCCCTAGCCACAGTTCTACACCAATGTATTATGATGATTTATCTGAATTCAATGTAAGGAAGAAAAACAAGGGAAATGAATGGTATTGTATTTAGCACTAGTCTTTTGTTCAGTGACAGAAACTAAATTGTGCCAAAACTGGGAATTCTTGCTATTAACGCAACAACAGAGGTAACGTCGAGTTCAGGGCTGGCTGAATTGGAGGTGCTCAAATCAGGCCTTGTCAGGCCTCCTGTTCTTGGCTTCCACTCTCCTCTGTGTGGCTTTCCATCTGGGAGTCCTCTGGTGACCTCTGACCCTCAGGCTGCTGCTCTTGATAACGTGCACCTGTTCATGTACACCTTTAAGTCTCTTGGCGCCATAACAAACCCATACACCAGCGACTTAACAACAGGGATTTATTTAGTTCTTAAGAGGTCTATGCTCAAGGCTCTTGGCCGTTTCTACAAGCCTATCTCGGCTTATACAGCTTCTATTTATGTCCTCAGTATGCACAGAAGGTGTGGAGTGAGAACAAGAGAGGACACATCTCTGGTATCTTCCCTTCCTTATATGGATAAGGCACTTATCCAAATTGCCTTTATTAGCTAATCAAATTAGCCTCTGGTATATCTCCCAAATTACGTCACATTGGAGGTTAGGCTTTCAACCAAGAATTGAAGATAACACAGTTCAGCATACCAACACCGAACTCTTATGGTAAAAATAACAAACCGTATTTCCATCTCTTGACCCATCACTCTGTGGGAGATCTAGCATGTTGGATAAGTTGTTCCCCAATGCCCAGGTTTTTGGTTTTTTGTGAATGCCTGACAACCGTCGGGGGTTACGGGCCGCGGCAGAGGTGGCTAACTCGACTCGGCCGCGAAGGGAGTGGGTGGTGGGGGGGAAGGCGGCGGGTGTGGGGGGCGGCTTTAGGGGCCTTCTCGTGGCCGCCTGGACTACCTTTGGGCTTGATGCTGTTGGAAGTGTGGAAACCTTTCACAGGTGCGGCCTGGTGGAGTTTTGGGTATTGGGCGATGTCCTTGAAGGGATGGTGGCCCCTCGATTCTTCCTCTCTTTGCTTCCAGAATGCCATGTGATGCATTTCCTTCATTACTCTTGCATGATATACGCCGTCACACAAGGCCAAACAAGGCCACCAATCCACGCATGTAAAACTCTAACTGTGAAACCCAAAATTAATTATCCCAGATATTTTACACTAAATGGGAAACTGACTAACCACAGATGAACATATTTATTACACAGGCCAATTCTATCTACCATAGAGCTGGTGGGGTAGGTTCAGACCTAGCAGAACCATGGAGTTGATACCAAAAAGAAAACAGGAACATATCATAAAAAGAGTGAGTATTGGCGGATCATGACTGACATGCGTTTTGTTTTCCCCCAAAATTCATAAATTGAATCCTAAGTTGCAGTGTCGTAGTGTTGGAGATGCCTTTGGGAGTAAATATGATGCCTATGAACTGGGGATGATCAGTCCTTTATAAGAGCACCAGAGAACTTGCTGTTCCTCCCCGATTATGTTAATTGATACAAGCAAGTGACCCTGCAGCCGAAACTAAATGGCGATACTTACCTTGAACCACTCAGACCCCATACTTAGAGAAATTCTGCTGTGCACCTATACGTCTAATTGGTATGTCCTATGCGCAGAGCACAACTAAGCTGGCAACAAAGCAGTAAGGTGTTTCCTGACACATGCACTTTGCCAACTTCCTTTGAGTCTTCATCAAATGAATTTTAAAAGTATTAGCCTAGAAACCTGCTCTGTGCTAATGTTCACCATGCAAAGTCTTGCCATGATACCCTCTTTATCACAGGTCAAAGCGCTGCCAAACATGGAACTGAAAACTGACACCCTGACTAAAAACAAACGTTCTTTTTAAAAAATAAAATGACCTCAAATATGTTACAGAATGGAACTCCAACTAACATGGACTGGAACATTTATTGCACAGACGAAATTCTACCTACCCACGGGTAGGCTTCAGCCTAGGCAAAATCCATGGAACTCTTCTGAGGAATCTGATCAGCTCCAGCTCTTGCCATAATCGATCACAGTGGTGCATGAGCAGAGCACCCATCCCAGGTGGTGCAGGTCTGGAGGCCCTTACTGAGAAATTTGCCCAATCAAAAGTAACCTATGGAACATCAATTCAGATCCTCTCTTCTTCCAAGTCTGAATTGAGACGTTCATGGGGAGAAGTTAGCAGTTGGGAGTGGAGCAGCAGAAGCACAGCATTGGGATGTAGTAGAAGGTGAAGGTTATACCGATGCATTGGAAGAAATGAGGGCTTTGGCAGTTAGAGCTGAGCCAGCAGATGGGGCAGTCTGCTCAC